GGTGCGGGCCGCGAGAGCAGTACCAAATCGAGGCAAACTCTGAATACTAGATATGACCTCAAAATAACAGTTGCATTACCTATTTTATTTATTGCTTGCACACGTCTTGGTTTCAAGCACGTGTTGAAGGTCTTCACGGAAATAATCTCTCGATCGTAGTGGTTGGGGTTAGGTATGGCTGTATTTTACCTCTATTTTCGAGTGAGATATACTGGGTTTGTTTTTGTAAGCACAAACTCTCAAAACCTATGTTTACAGCTTATTATTGTACATATGCAACTTATTAAAGTTTTATGTTTGAAATCCGTAATTCAAATAAAGGGTAAACGTCAATACAACAAAATACTCTATAAACGTTGCATCTTATTTATTTATGAAAATTTGTATTAATTTTTCATTATCGGTTTTACAATAAAATTTTACTTGTCACTGCATTGCACGGGATACAAACCAAGTTCCATTAAAATGCCAATCATTATCAGATCACCCAAAAAAGAAAACTGACTAATGATAATCTCACTTCTTTGATTTCTATTTCTCACTTTGTTTTCAGCTTGATAAACGCTGAAATCAGCTTAAACTCATCCGGTAATAATTCAGAACAGACCCTTCAAGAGTTTTTTAAAAGGTCCTACTGATATCCTTGAGGTGTAGATTTCGTTGGAAGTCTTGTTCTTACTAATTTGGAACCGATTGGCACTTAGATAATGAAGGTCTGACACGATCATAAGATGTGTGTGTAGTGTTTTTAAGAACGAGAATGTGTTCAGATTTATACGAATTCCTAACTCGTCTATGAGTATATATGCAAGACCTTTAAGTGTGAAGCTCTTGGTCATGTGTCTTGGTGCTCAAAGGTCGTAGATAAGTAATGGTTTCTCAAGATTTCTCATGTTATTGGCTCTGCTAGACGAGGCATGTCACCCTGTTTTTGCCATTCGTACAGAATTTGATTACCTATATCTGTATTATTATTCATGTACACATCGACTCAAGGTTTGAAAAGGAAAGTCGATTTCAAAAAACGGGTACTTGTAAAACTTAGTACTTGGTAAACTAAAAACCTTTATACAGTAATACGTGTATTAAACTATTCAAACAGTGAACATTATTTAAGAAGAAAACAATGGAAAATGGATCATGCAAAAGCAGGTAAAATGCAAGATATCATATGACCGTTGCTCAAGATCTATATAGTTGTTGGCCATCTTTTTTGCTTTATAACTTAAAAAAGTAATTAACTGTACAAATCCAGTTCGTTTTTGTGGTCGTTTTATTTGATATTTTTGGATTTGTGTTTAGTTTCGAAGACATATTTGAGTGATGGTTACTCTTTTCTTTAGCTTTAGATTGATATTACTACTTGATATTTGTAACTTTAACTTTGGTCTATACTTTTAGAAAACACATTTTCACATAATGTGTTTAAGAAAATAGGATAAGTCTAATGAATTGTAATTCCTAATAACCAGAATGAAATGTAGTCAAGTTTAACCATGCGATTGGTTGGCAATATTATAATATAATTTGTCTGTTTGCTTTGGAGGATATAGCTCTTGAATTGGAATAATATCATATTATATAACCAGTCCTAGAGGAGATGGAAAGGGTTGTAGATTGAGAGAAGATCACAGTGGGGCTCAAAGCAGTCAGCGACACCGTGAAGGATATTGAAGGAGGGCCGACAGGAGTTCTCAAGGAGGAGGGAGGGAAAAAGAATGAGAATATTTTCGTCTTTTGCAATATATTCCAATTAATGGAATGTCCCAAAGAATCTGAATTCAACTGTAGGTGGAACTTCAATTTCATACTAAACCCTACAGAATGAACCGAACACAAGAATATAATCTATTCAACGAAATTAAAATATTTCAATTTATTCAAAGTTTATTTGAGTTCAACGAACTGAACACGATTTTAGTATCTATCTTGTCAAGCTTCAACAGTAAACAGTAAACAGGTAATAAAATGTGTGTTTTATCGTTCCATTTATGTGGGACATGCTTTTAACATAACTATTAATGCAATAACGGTTTATACTTAATCTTTCATAGATATTGTGTTACTAAAATTTATAAGTCATATAAATGAAGTTGTGCTTATTTACAAGAATTCCTTTGCATTCGTAAAAATCCGTTAGATGATAAAAAATCATTCACAAGTTTAGAAGGTGATATAACGCTTCTCACGTATTTTTCCACGTGATCCTAAGTTCATAACACAAATGCGCACACACACATACACACACACACACATACATACATATATATATATATATATATATATATATAGGCCTACTCAAATGAGAACTAATTAGTTTGTGGTAACCGTGAGGTCCAATATTAACCATAAATCAGTAGATAAATTGGGAAATTTATAATTTTGGTAATTTTGAATTAAAACTTTAATGCAAAGATATTTTAGGTATTTTAAAACTCTCATCTCTCCATCCTCCGGCCATCGTCCTCCGGTGATGCCATAGTGGTATAACAATGTATTTTATATGTGCTTGGACATCACACTGAGGTCGTTTGTGTGGTCGATCGGAGATGTAACACAGTGGTATCACAATGCATCTTATATATGCTTGGGTATCACACACACACACACACACACACATATATATATATATATATACATATATACACATGTATATAGACAGGAACAAACGAGAAGACAATCAATTTGTAAGAAATTCCATATATATATATATATATGTGTGTGTGTGTGTATATATATATATATAGATACGAGAATGCTATCTAAATAAGAAAATAAGAGGATGAATCTCAGCCACTTTATTCAAATCATGCCTTACATAAAAACTTTCTTAAAGATCGCCTAAAAATGAATATGCATCATTTGTTGAATATGGATCATGTACGGAAATTCAGTTATTTCTATAAGGGTATTTAATGAATTTAATTAAGACTTTTATTATAATTTACCTGATTTTGTGTTATTATCTGGATAATCTGTTGTTATTCATATTGTATCTTCATCTATATGAGCACATAAGGTCAGTTTTAATTTGTATAAATTTTCCTTATTTGGAAACTGCGTTTAGAACCGTATGGTTCTTTATATGAAATTGTTGTTAAAACTGTTTTGATGCCAGAATTTGGCAAAGACTGTGGGTTATTGTTATGATTAATCATGTGTGGAAATAAGAATGACCTATCAACGAGAGGTGTATTTTAGGTTATAAGGATGGAATATCAAGGATAAGTATATATTGGGATAAGGGTGACATATTAAGGAGAGGTGTATACCATAATAAGGGTGACATAATCATCGAGTTATAAAATCTGAGTTTTTAAATCAAGTGTTCATAATTATCGCATCTTTATGATGCGATAACTTAGGGTTGTCGCATCTATGTGATGCGATGAAATGTGGTTTTCGCATCCTTGTGATGCGAGGAGGGAATTTTCTCTTTTTTGTGTATTTTTGTTGATCCTCTCTCATTGATTTGTTGATAATCCCTTTTTCCTTTCGATGTATTTATGTATCTGTAATTTCAGTTCCAGCGATCATACACTGAGCTTGTTCAGTGATCGCTGATGAACTTGTTTTGAAATTCATTCAGAGACAACGATACTTCAAGAAAACAACACTCACACCAAAGATCCTTCAGCAAACGTCGAAGACTGAAACTGAAGATAAGGATGTCTGTTCATAAATAGTGCTTTTGTACTATTTACTGTAACAAAGGACAAGCCTTCCTATTAAGGCTTGACACGCACTCTAAACCTACC